CTGCACTTATTCCATGAGATGTGGTAGGGGCTGTCACCATTTGCAGACCCCACGTATTCAAAGAGCAAAGATCGGGACTGGGGAGATGCAGAAACCCAATTTAGGGTGTGGTTTGTGTCCTAAAAGTGAGCAGGTATGTGTGATAGCATTGTGCACAGGAAAGGGAGTAGACAGATTTGGGGAATTAAAGCTGATAAGCACTCTGCCAATACCACGTGGTTACCGAGTCAAGCAGACTTTAGATGCTGAAGTGGTGTGGTATGTATGTCCAGGCTGGATGACCTTGGCCACCTCTGCACATTCACCCAACTTCCTAGAGAGTACATCTCTAGACTGCCCTGTGCCTGTACAGGGTGAGGCTTGCTGCTTGTTTGTTGAAAGAATGCTTCTGTCACCAGTCTAGTTTGCAGTTGATTCCCTTTCTAAAAGTAGTATTAAGGTCTGGGCAGGAGCTATGGTATTCTTAGCTAGTCAAAAACCTCCAAGTTCAACCTGCAACATTGCCTGCTGCCCAGAAGACTCCTGGTGGATTTTTTTGCATTGTTTCATTTGTTAGTATGTGTCTCTGGGAATGAAGGATTCTCTCATGGTAAATGTAGATAAAAGCCAGAATGTTGGGGCTGGGATGGGATCGATGTAAAGAAGTGAGCAGATACTGTCTGCGTTGACATATTCTTCTCTTGTCATTTCCTTGTCCCAGAGGGTGGCTCGTGTGCTTTGGAATCAGCTGAACAAGGAGACCCGGGAACACCATATCACCTGCGTGGAATTATTCTACCGGCTACACTGCCTGGCTCCCACAGCCAATATCTGTGAGGACATCATCTGCCATGCCCTCCTGGACCCTGACAAGGCGAGTCTTTTCTGCTGGCATCTTAGTTCGTTCCAGCATTGTTGACAGAAATACTTGAGGCTGGGTGGCTTTATAAAGAAAATAGAGGTATATTTTCAAAACTCAAAATTTTAGTGACTGGAAAGTCCAAATGCCTCACAAAATGGCAGAAGGCAGACATACCAGCAGAGCAGAATACGATCTGTGTCCGTATGGCCTCCACCTGCCTCGTTTCCTCTTACATATGCCAGAATTCAGTCAGGGGTCCCTGCCTTGATCACAACCAAAGGACCCTCCTTTGGACACCATGGAGGGATTAAGTGTTCAATGAATACTTCTACAATACAGTCAAGTCCCAACACGTGAGCTTTTGGGGGACAAATCATTGTCCAAACCATACAACCAGCAACTCCATTCCACAACACCTCATCACTTTCTGTGCAAACTTATAGACATCCAGCTGAAGTCTTTGGGGTTCAGTGGACATCCTGATTAATGAGCAGAGGTTTTCAGCCTGTCAGTATTGGACAACCTCTGGAAGCTCCAGCCATCCCCGTTAGAGTCCTAAAACTGGTTTGTGTCAATATTATGGCTCCCTGGGGAAATGCACCTAAACTCCCTGCATGTGATTTGGGAGCTTCTGGAGAGTTTGACAAAGCAGGCAGTTGTAGAGAACTGATTGGGAATATAATGTCCCTTACCCTCCTTTGCAGCCAGGTATGTGTCCTTATCCTTTAGGGCACTTAGAGCCACACCCCCAGGGGACTGAGGCCCTGCTCCTCTGTGTCTTAGACCACAGGCCTCAGATGTGACCCTGAACACCAGGTGATGCTGAGTCTGAACGTGCACATCACTAAACGGTGCATCTTCTTAAATTGCCTGGAATCCAGCGAGGACGCACGTGTGCCATTACCTTCCGGCCAGGAGGAACGTCAGCACAAGTGACAGTGCTGCATCCCGGCTGTGACACTCTCCCCTTAGTGAAGTGGGGTCTGTTAATACTGGGAACAGCATTTGGTTATGAAACCAGGTTCTTTACTTCTGCTTATTTCCTAATCAAGGGGACAAGGCTGGAAGCTCTGTTTCGGTTTTCTGTGATCTGGCACCTGACACGAGAGATCCAAGGCAGCCGAGTCACCTCTCACAACCGCTCCTTCGACAGGTGAGGCGGTCTTCATTCTCACTCACCCATACATAGCACAACACCGCAGAGGTTCCTGGCCAATCAGTGTGTCGGACTGGGGGCCGGCATGTGTGACGTTGAAGATGCGACACTTGCGTGTGACCTCTACAGGGTTCCCATGATCCCTTACATAAATTTAGGCCAGAAACAGGTGAATACCTGAATTTAATTTGGCTGGAGTGTAAGGAAGCCCAGCATGCCTCAGAATCTTCTGTAGGGCTTTTACAATGATCCCCTTCTCCCAGGGAACTTTGTAGAGAGGTGCAAATGGTGGTCGAGACCTAGCTGACATGTATATATTTGTCACGTCATTACTACTTACATTATTAAGATGTGAAGGTAGGAGGGCCAGCAGGTGGTGTAGGGATTAAGACTGGACTCCTGTGTAGCCAATCGAGTCCCAGACCTGGCAACTTGAAACTCATGCTGGGCGCATGTGCATGCATGCCCAAAATCCCAAAAGGAGAATGGAGGAGAAGGAATTGCAGTGTGGCCACCCCCCCCGGGGGGGGGAGTGATGTCCCATTTTCCCTCTATCTCTCTCTGGTAAGCACATGCGTCCTATGGCAAAAAAAAAAAAAAAAAAAAAAAAAAAAAAAAAAAAAAAAAAAAAAAAAAACCTATAATTAACATTCTTTGTTCCCTTCGAAAGCCCACGCGTCCCAAGGAAAAAAAAAAAAAAAAAAAAAAAAAAAAGAAAAGTGAATGTTATTGCAGGTTTGTTCTTCTCCACATCGTTTTTTCCAAGCGCCCTCCCATATCCCTTAGCACCAGGTGCGAGGGCCAGGCACAAGGCATTAGGTGCCAGGCAGTTCTGATGTTTGTGGCACAGCCCTGTGACTGGACAATCAACTGGAGGTAAGACCGTGACATCAGGATTTTACAATCTCCCCATTACCCCAGCCAGTGATTCTAACATGAAAGCGAGGTTGACACCCCCTGTCCTTACCTGCTGCAGTTTGTAAACCCAGCATGGTCACGTGCTCTAGGGTATCCGTGTTGTTTGACACCCTGTGCCCTGTGCCCAGAGCAGCCGAGCACAGACTCAGTGGCCTGGTTCCCCTGCAGGTCCTTGTTCGTCGTGCTGGACAGTTTGGCCTGCACAGATGGCGCCATCAGCGCAGCAGCCCAGGGCTGGTGCGTGCGTGCCCTCTCCCTTGGGGATGTGGCGCGCATCCTCGAGCCTGTGCTCCTGCTCCTCCTGCAGCCCAAGACCCAGAGGACCTCCATTCACTGCCTCAAACAGGAGAACTCAGCGGGTGAGTACCTGCACAGGGTCCCCAGCACGGGAGGGAGGAGCAGGTAGACTGGACCCCAGCTGCCGTCGTGATAGGGCACTTGGATTCACTGGGTGGTTTTGCCAAATTCATGTGGTATGGAAGTGCTTCCTAAGCTTAGGAACTTTGAAAATATAAGGTTCTAGTGAACTAGTGTTAGGACTGCTAGAGAGTACTTGCTGTTTTCACTGAAAAACCAGATGATTCTGTTATTAAATAAATTGGGGGGACCAGCAGGTGGCATGATGGTTAAGGCGCTGAACACTCCCACATGGCCAACCACGGTTCAAGTCCTGGACCTGGTGGCTTGCTTTCTCACTTTCCTTCTTTCTGTCTCTCTCTGAGCAAATTAAAATGAATGAATGAATGAATAAAAATTAAATAAAAAATAAAAATAAAAATTGGGGGGGCCAGCCCATGGCCTGGCAGTTAACGCAGTTAGCTCTCACATGGTCAACTTTGTGGTTCAAGTTTGGCCTGGTTGCTTGGAAAACATACTGGATGTGTGTATGTGTGTGTGTACATGGGCACACCCAAAATCCAGGCAGGAGGGAGAAATGGAGGACAAAGGATTGCAGCACGACCATTCCCCATGGAGGCAGTGCTTTCTCCCTCTCTCCCTTTCTCCCTCTCTCTCTGTGTCTGTCTGGTGAGTGCAGGTACCCCCTGGCAAATTTTAAAAAATGAAAAATTTGAAATAAACATCATCAGATAAAATCACCATGCAGTCTAACTGAAATTTACTCTTGTCTAACCTTGCTACCTTTTGACCAACTTCTTTCCTTCCCTTATTCCCACCCTCTAGTTGGTTGGTTGGTTGGTTGGTTGGTTAGTTCCTTCCTTCCTTCCTTCCTTCCTTCATTTTTTTCTTCTTTTAGTATGGGGTTTGTGCGCTCGCCAGAGAGAGGGAGAAAGGGAGAAAGAAATCATCCTCCGGGGGCAATGGCCACACTGCAGTCACCTCTCCTCCCCTTTCATTTTGGGGTTTGGGTGTACACACATGCACCCGGCATGATTCTCAAGCCACCAGGACCAGAACTCAAACTGCAAAGCTGGCCGTGTGGGATCTAGTACCTTAATCCTCACACCACCTGCTGGCCCGTCAGCATTCTACTTTACTACAAAAGTAGGTTTTAGGGCAACAGGAGACATACTGGCTAAGGTGCTAAATCCTATGTGGCCAAGTAAATGGTTTGAGTTCTAGACCCAGCGGCTTGGAAAACACAGCGGGTGTGTGTGTGTGTGTGTGTGTGTGTGTGTGTGTGAGTGTGTCTAAAATCCCATGAAGAGAATGAGGGAGAAGGGACTGCGGCATGGCCATCCCCTATGGGGGGGGGTGCTTTCTCTCCTGCTTTCTCTTCCTCTTCCTCTTTCTCTTCCTCTTTTTCTGTCTCTCTCTAGAGAGTATACATGCAAAAACGTAAAAACTCTTTATATGTTCTCACCACAAAACAATGCTAAGTGAGGTGAGGGCTACATTGATTAGTTTGACTTAATCAAGCCGCAGTGTATACATATATGAAAGCATGGCCAGCCCTGTGGGCTAGTGGTTAAGTGAGTCAGATCCCACATGGCTAAGCTCATAGTTTGAATCCTGGCCCTGGTGGCTTGGAAACCAGACTGTATGGGTGTGTGTCTGTGCCCCTAATACCAACAGGGTGAAGAAATGGAAGAATAGGGATTATAGTGTGACCATTTTTTCTAGGGGGGGTGCTTTCTCCCTCTCTGACTCTCTCTGGCAAGGACATACACTTTCTGGCAAGTGATTGGGTTGACGGAAAAGTCACGATGTTTTTATTTTTCTCTTTTTTCTATGTAAAAATGTGCCGTGACTTTTCTAACAACCCAATAAAAACAAAAGCAAAAATTATATTGTTGGATCAGCAGGTGGCGCGGTGGTTAGGATGCTGGATCCCACATAGCTGACTCTATGGCATTTCACTTCTAAATCCGGAGGCTTGAGAAATACCCAGGTGCTGTGCTTGCAAGCTCAAAATCCTGAGAGGAAAAGGGATCACAGCCTGGCCATATCCTCTGGGGATTAACTTCTCACTTTCCCTCTTTCTCTGGCAAGTGCACACACCCTTTAGAAAAAAAAAAAATCATGTCGTAACCCATAAATATGTATGATTATTATTGGTCAATTTAAAAAATTGTTTAAATTCTAGTAACTCATATTTCAATAAAAACAGGTGATTTTGGGCTAGCAGGTGTTGTGGTGGTAACATGGTTGGATCCCACGTGACTGAGTGCACAGCTTGAGTCTGGACAGGGCAGCTTGAAATATAATTACAGTAGGTGCGTGTACATGTGTGAGCACACATGCCCAAAGTCCTGAGAGGAGAATGGAGATGAAGGGATTGCAGCATGGCACTTCCCTGGCAGGAGTGCTTTCTTTTTTTGGAGAGGTTTTTGCTGTAGGGCATGTACACTCACCAGAAAGACAGAGACAGACAAAGAGGCAGAAAGCGAGAAATCATCCCCTAGGGGGGTGGACATGCTGTAATCCCTTCTCCTCAAGTAGACATGAGGGCTAGTCCTGTAGCCTAGTGGCTTTCACTTCCCTTAAAGGAGACTTGGGGACCGGCTCCTGTAGCTCAGTGGTTAAAGGAAATGGATCCTACATGACCAACAATGGTTGGAATCCTGGCCCCTGTGGCTTGAGAAACAAACCAAGCACTTGTGCAGGCACATCTAGAGTCCTACTGAGGGGATGAAGAAATGGAGGATATGGGATTATGGCATGCCCACGCCCATCTGGGGGTGCTTTCTCCCCACTCTCTGTGTCACTGGCCAGTGCTCATACCCTCTGGCAATAAAAAAAAAAAGGAGATTGGATATTTAAAAGCATTGTGTATTTTCTAATTACAGAAGTACTTATATGCTTTTTTTTTTATTTTTAAACTGGATGACCATGGGACCAATAGGTGGCATGTTGGTTAAAGGTGCTGGACTCCCACATGGCCGACCGTGGTTAGAGTCCCGGACCTGGCGGCTTACTTTCTCACTTTCCCCTCTCTTTCACTCTGTCTTTCTCTGATCAAATTAAAATAAATAAATAAAGTTAAATAAAATAATTATTTAAAAAAAGAAAAAAGCTAGATGACTAGTCATGTGGTGTAGAGGTTAAGGTGGCTGGATCCCACATGGCCAACTGCATGATTTGAGTCTTGGACCCAGCAGCTTGAAAAACAGGCTGTGTGCATGCACATGCATACCCAAATCCCAGGAAGAGAATGGAGGTGAAGGGATTGCGGTGTGGCTATCCCCCTAGGGGCGATTTCTCACATTCCCTTTCTCTGTCTCTATTGAACACATGTGCCCTATAGCAAACTTAAAAAGAAAAAAAAAAAAAAAAGAATATTAAGGAAGTACAAACCTAAGTAGAAATTTCATGTAATGCCAGTTGGTAGAGCTAAAAGATTGGCAGAAAATCTTCCAGACTTTTCCATAGCTGTGTGTTAGAGATACTGTCCCCAGATTGAGCTTATTCTATATATACAGTTCTGTACCTTGATTTTTTTTAACTTAATAGAGCCTGCACTTTGGTCCCTATCAGTATGTATAAGTTTATCATTAAAAAATCTAAATAGGCTTGCCCCATGGCTTATTGGTTAAGGAAAATGGATCTCAGATGGCTAGCTGCAGTTCAAGTCCTAGCCCCAGAGGCTTAAAAAGCTTTCTAGAAATGCATGTATGCCCAATAATCCTGAAAGGCTGGAGGATGGAGAAAAAGGGATTGCAACGTGACCATGCTCCATTAGAGGAGGGGGTCCTCCCCTTCTCTGTTTCTCTGTGAAGCACACGTTCCCTCTGGCAATTTAAAGAAAAACGGTGGTTGGGACCAACAGTTGGCATAATGGTTATGTCACTGGACTCCCATGTAGCTGACCACAGATTGAGTCCCAGACCCCGTGGCTTAAACTCACGCCAAGATCCCGAGAGGAAAATGGAGGAGAAGGGTTGCAGTGTAGCCATCCCCCTGGGGGGTGATTTCTCGTTTTCTGTCTCTCTTTCTCTCTCTGTCTTACGAGTGCATGCGCCCTATAGCAAAAACCTCTTTAAAAAAAAAAAGAAAGAAAGAAAAAGAAAGACAGTGGTCCATTGCATATTTGCTTTGAATTGTTCACTCAGCCCCTCTGTGGAGCTTCTCTTTGCCTTCCAGTCTGTCTTTACAAGACTTGACATTTCAGTGAATAACTTTATAGCTTTGAAACCTTTCTCCTGTTGTGGACAGATTTATTTATTTTTCTCAAGTGTAGGATACATCTAGTAAAAGAAAACTCCTGGAACAAAATCATACATATTTTTAAATCACCATCCCAAGAAAGTTGTGATGCTTAAATTTTCCATGGCAGTTTAACTTCCAGTCTCTTCACATTCTCAGAAACCTATTTACTGGGCCAGCTGGCTGATAGCATGTTGGTTAAGGCAGGAGGAACTGACATGGATGACAGCACTGTTCGAGGCTTAGACCCGTGACTTCAAAAACATGCTAGATGCATGTGTGCTCATGCCCAAAATCCCAAGAGGAGATTGGAGGAGAAGGGATTGCAGTGTGGCCATCCCCTTCCCCGGTGGTGGCTTTCTGTTTCTCTAATGAGCACATGTGCCCTGTAGCAAAACAGAAGCCAAAAACCTGTTTACCGTTCTCTGCCTGCCTTTTGTCCGCAGCGTAGTCTAACTTGGGTGACGTAGTTGTATGTGGGAATTCTATCAATATCGATCTTCCTGGGATCAGCAGTTAGTGTAATGGCTATGTCGCTGGACTCCCACGTAATCGACCGTGGTTTGCGTCCCGGACCCAGTGGCTTAAACTGACGCCGGGCGCGAGTGCGTGCGTGCCCAAGATCCCGAGAGGAGAATGGAGGAGAAGGGATTGCAGTGTGACCATCCCCCCTAGGGGGTGATTTCTCGCTTTCTGTCTCTCTCTGTCTGTCTGGCGAGCACACGCACCCTATAGCAAAAACCTCTCCAAAAAAAAAAATATATATATATATATATCGATCTTCCTGTCTGACTGTGAGGCAGAGGTCTCCCTGGAGCGCATTTCCCATAGCTATCCCTTGTGTTCTAAAGTTGTCATTTGTAATTTTCAGAGGACTTGCATCGTTGGTTTAACAGGAAGAAAAGCTCCTTCAAAGAGGCATGTGGAGTACCCGAGCTACAGGAAGATGGCTTCGAGGACCATCTGCCTCTGAGCCAGTTCACAACAGTCGACCGTGAAGCCATCTGGGCCGAGGTGGAGAAGGAACCAGAGAAGTGCCCCCCAAGAAGTGCATTAAGTGAGGAGGACCTACCCTACTATGTGGACCTTCCCGATAGGATGGCCCGGGACACTGTGGACAGCAGTGAGCACACCGAGTCCGCAGACACGAGCTTCGGCCACACGGATAGCGAGAACACATCCTCCTTCTCCACCCCATCCCACGGCCCGCAGGAGCTGAGCAACATGGACAACTGCTGTGCGCCCATCCCCATGGGAGGCAGGCTGCACCCCAAGCGCTCAGCCTTTCTGACGACCTTCCAGTCTGAAAACTTCAAGCCCACTGCCAAGTTAGGCTTGGTGCGGGTGGACTCAGACAGGACCCAGGCTTCAGAGTCATTGTCCAGTGATGAGGAGGCTGACCTGGAGCTACAGGCCCTCACTACATCCAGACTGCTAAAGCAGCAGAAGGAGAGGCAGGAAGCTCTAGAGGCATTGTTCAAGCACATTCTGCTTTATCTGCAGCCCTATGACTCCCGCCGTGTCCTCTACGCCTTCTCCGTCCTAGAGGCTGTCCTCAAAACCAACCCAAAGGAGTTCATAGAGGCAGTGTCCAGGACCAGCATGGACACCAGCTCCACCGCACACCTCAATCTCATCTCCAATCTTCTTGCTCGCCACCAGGAAGCCCTCATTGGCCAGAGTTTCTATGGGAAGCTCCAGACCCAGTCCCCCAATGTGTGCCCCCACTCTCTGCTCATCGAGCTCCTTACCTACCTCTGCCTGAGCTTCCTGCGCTCCTACTACCCGTGCTACCTGAAGGTCTCCCACCGAGACATCCTTGGCAACCGGGACGTGCAGGTCAAAAGTGTCGAGGTGTTAATCAGAATCATGACACAGTTGGTCTCAGTAGCCAAGGCTTCCGAAGGGAAGAATGTGGAGTTCATTCACAGCTTACTGCAGAGGTGCAAGGTGCAGGAATTTGTTCTGCTCTCACTGTCGGCATCCATGTACACGAGTCAGAAGCGCTACGGGCTGGCTACTGCTGACCACAGCAGGGCCCTGCTGGAGGACAGCCTCTTTGAGGAAAGCCTTATCAACTTGGGTCAAGATCAGATCTGGAGTGAGCACCCACTGCAGATCGAGTTGCTCAAGCTCCTGCAGGTGCTGATTGTCCTGGAGCACCACTTGGGACAAGTCCAAGAGGAGGCCGAGAACCAGCCAGACCTGTCCCGGGAGTGGCAGCGGGCCCTCAACTTCCAGCAGGCCATCAGCGCCGTGCAGTATGTGCAGCCCCACCCCCTCACCTCTCAGGGGCTGCTGGTCTCTGCGGTGGTGAGAGGGCTGCAGCCCGCCTATGGCTATGGCATGCACCCAGCCTGGGTGAGCCTGGTCACACATTCCTTGCCATATTTCGGGAAGTCCTTGGGCTGGACAGTGACACCCTTCGTTGTCCAGATTTGCAAAAATTTGGATGAGCTGGTCAAACAGTACGAAAGTGAGTCTGTGAAACTCTCAGTCAGGTATGTTAAGCCCTTGGAGCATCATTATTGCTTTAATGACGGTTTTTGTGGTGAGCAGCTGTTTCACCATGGATGCCAGCTGGAGAAGTTCAACCTAATCAGAAACCTGTTTGCCATTGCCAAGAGGGCAGTCAAGCTTGAAATGTTCAGATCCTTTATTTTAAATTTCACACAGCTACCCTGGCCAGTTTCATGCTGCAGGGCAAGTGAGTTACCATTCACTGTTTTTGCACAACAAAAATATAAATATGACTTCCCTTCACAGAAATTCTAAAACATTTTAGATCATTTTCCAAAGTGACTTTATGAACATAAAGTAGCACAAAGGATGCCTGTCATTATTACTGACATTTCTTTTTATTTTTTTCATCTACTATAGGACATGGTGCGCTCGCTAGAGAGAGAAAGTGAGAAAGCACCTCCCAGAGGGGATGGACACTCTGCAATCCTTTCTACTCCATTCTCCCCTCATGATTTCGAGCACACGCACACCCACCGTGTGTTTCAACCACCGAGTTTGGGACTTGAACTGTGCAGTTGGCTCTGGCATCCAGCCACCTTAAACACCATGCCACTGGCTGACCTAATGGTATTCCATTACGAGAGCCCCAGTTTACTTAAGATAGTGACATCTCTCTGGTTTCCATGTTTATATATAGGATTAAAGATCTTTATGAGCCTCATTCTTAAAAATTCTCAAAACCAGTTTCTCGTTTCTTCACCAAAGCACCACCTCCAAGCGGGAAAACATTTCTCCGGATTATCCACTCACTCTTTTGGAAGGTCTCACAACCATTAGTCATTTTTGTCTTTTGGAACAACCCCACCAAAACAAAAAGGTGTGTATTTTTTTCTTGAGTTTGAGGCAATTTTTGTATTGTTTTGCCTTGGGTTGTGACTGTTTAAAATAAGTTACATATGTATATAGTGTGTGTAAGTAATGTGTGCAAGAATGATACAAATATGTATGCAAGTTGATGCATTATGTGGAATGCAAACCTATGTGCGTATGTGATGCAAATATGTATGCAAATCTGTGCGTGTATATGTGCTGTAAGTGTGAGTGCAGGTGTATGTGTGTGTTATATAATGTATGTAGTACGTAAATGATTCAGGTATATATGCAAATGTGTGTGATACAAGTGTGTATAAATGTATGTATGTGTATATATGTATGGGAATGTATTTGTGCAAGCAACACAAATTATGTAAGTGATGCAAATTGATTTTATTCTTATTGGCCCTTTTCCATTGTCCCATCAGTAACCATATGGGATAAATATAAAGCCATGTGTTTTATTTTAGGGTTATGTTCATTTTTTGTCCACGTGTTTTTTCACTTGTCATGGAGTTGGTAAAGTCTGAGTTGGGAGACACTGAGGCTCTTAGTTGCTCTCTCCTGTCTGAGATTCAGTCTTAGACTACATCTAATACTTTGGTGGCATGACAGGAAAAGTTAATACTTTGGAGCCTGGGACTCAACTACGTTCTCTCTTTGAAAGAAAAGCACAGGGAAATATCTTGTTTGCAGACACCATGTGTGTGTCTTGCTGAGAGGAGAGTCCAACCGCTCAGGCTAAGCAGGGGAACTGCCCCACTGACGCAGCCAGCCTCACTTGCTCGTTTTCACTTTTAGACCACTGCCATAAGTGATCCAACCAACTTGCGAAATGACAGGAGAAGAACTGCCTCGAATCGTTAATACCATGGCCCTTCTCTGGAATGTTCTCAGGAAAGAAGAGACTCAAAAGAGACCCGTCGATCTCCTTGGAGCCACAAAGGGATCGTCTTCTGTTTACTTTAAAACCACCAAAGTGAGAGGCCTTTCTCTGTGGTTTTGTTATTTGCCTTACATTGTCCCATCAAAAATGAACATGTATAGGAATGTGTACCTAAATAGACAAATGTGCTCCATGAGACCCACCCCAGGAGTCAGAAGTACAAATCTCCAAGTCAGTTTCCGGGACCAGCAGATGGCATAATGGTTACGTTGCTGGACTCCCACATGGCTGACCACAGTTCAAGTCTTGGACCTGGCCGCTTGAAACTCAAGCTCTGTGTGTGTGTGTGTGTGCATGTGTGTATACGTGTGTACCCAAGATCCTGGGAGGAGACTGGAGGAGAAAGGATTGTGGTGTGGCCACTACCACCCCCCACCCCGGGGGTGTGATTTCTCGCAAGCACAAACACCCTACAGCAAATATCCCTAAAAAAAAGAAAAGAAAAGAAAAGTTACCTATACATGGAATAGAGGAGTATGAGTGGTTTCAGACTATTTTCTTACTTCCCCCCCTGTGCCTTATTATTACTTAAAAATAAAATCTCTGACGGTCAGAGGTGGGGTTCCTAAATTAGAGTCCTCACCTGACTCTAGAGCATCTCTGTTGAGACCACACGGACAGAACACATGTCTGTTCTGTGTTTAGTGGTGCTGTTGACACGTGGGCACATCAGCACGGAATGTTAGGGTGCTGTTAAGGTTTTTATTGGACCAGAAGCGCATGACCCAGGACGTTTATTGTTTGTTCTCCCTTGGTTTTCAGGCTGTCTCGGAAAGCTCTAGGCTTGGGGTGCTCCCTGTGCTCCCTGTTAGTGTGTGGGTATCTGAGGTCAGTTGAGTGCCCAGGGACCAGGCATGGTCTCGGGGCTCACACACAGTGCCTGGTAGCCCTGGCCCTCTGCATTCAGGATTACAGTGTCTAGGTGGCCTCCTGGATGTTTTTTTTTTTTAGGTCCAAAGGTGCTGAGGAAAGGAATCCTGCTGTATTTCAAACTGGTGTAGGAACTTGTTCTAAAACAAGGGTTCTGAAAACCATTCTGTACTCAGTCTCTCTGAGCCTCAGTTTCTTCATCTGTAAAATGAAGCTGTTGCTAGTCTCCTACTTTATAGTCTGATAGAAAGATTAGTTACAATAGCGGCTAGTGCTTATTGAGCACTCACTGCTAACCCTCCTGAAGATGAGGACCATGGAGCAGGACCAGGAGATTCCCTGAAGCAAAAACCCCGGTGGTAGTGGAGGGTTCAGCTTCCTGCCAGGCTGAGGATAACATATCTGTGAGTGACAAGGGCACGCTGGGTGCTCAGCCATCTGTTTATTCAGCAGCCATGTATGTGCTGCTATGCTCCAGGCCGTTCATATGCCAGTGTATGGGGCAGCTGGGGTCCTGTCCCCCAAGGCAGAGACAGCCGTTGACCTCAGTGGAACAACGAGGAGTGCTTCAAAGAGACACGAGGCACTCTGACCAAGTGTGAGAGAGAACCTGCCCTAGTCTAGGCTTGGGGCAGGGGGTGTCCCTGAGGCAGAGTGGCCGACCTGAGACCCACCCGGATTGAGAGGCTTTAACTTCAGTAGGGAGCTCGACTGGAAGAGCTATAGGGCAGAGAGTTTCAGAACTGAAAAGTGCGAGTAGCAAAAGGGACTGAGTGGTATTCCCCTGCCTTACAGGTTTATTTTAAATTGACTGAGTAATAAAATCAGTTCAGTACTTCTGGAAATTAAAAAAACAGCTTTTCTTGATGAAAAGAAAAGTCCTTTTTCTCCTGCTGGAGACAAGCTGAGGCTGTGGCATAGCCAGCACATAGCGCTGACTCAGCCGCCTGCTTGCCCCTCACTTACTCCTCTCTGCAGAGCACTGTGTGGCTTCCATGAAGACCCCACCCTGCTCCAGCTCTCCAAGGGTAGGAGTCATCATCCTTCCCCCAGACTCCTGGGCAGCTCAGCTAGCCATACTCCTCCAGCTGGCCACTCACCATGCTTTCTCGGGAGCAGCAGGCTACCCTGTCATCTCCAACCCCTTCAAGAAGAGCTCCTATTCCTTCTCTTCCCAGGGTCTACCCAGCCACGAAACCTCTCTGCCCAGTGTTGGGACACTAACCCAATGGGCTTTGCTTTCAGTAGGTGGTGGCTGAGTATATATTCCGTATGTGCCTGATGGCCTTGATACTACTAGGCAATAACTTTTCTTTCTTGTTTTCTAGACCATAAGACAAAAAATTTTGGATTTCTTAAACCCCTTGACAGCTCATCTTGGGGTTCAGTTAACAGCTGCTGTTGCAGCAGTGTGGAGCAGGAAGAAAGCTCAGCGTCACAGTAAGATGAAGGTAAAGTTAAAACGTTAAAGGACTTGGTCTCCCCCCATAATCTAGTGATTAATTATCACAGCCCCAGCAGCTTGAAAACACCAGGCACTTGTGTTGCATGCTCCAAATACCAACAAAATGGAAAAATGAAGAAGGGATTGTGGCATTCCACACCCATTGGGGAATGCTTTCGCCCTCTCCCTTTCTCTCTCTCTGTCTCTTGGAGGAGGGCACATACCCTCTGGCAATTAAAAAGGTAAAGGGCCAGTATATGGCTTGGTGGTTTGGGCACTAGATCCCACATGGCCAACTGCATGGTTCGAGTCCCAGATCTAGCAACTTGAAAAACATGCCAGGCTGCCCAAAATCCCAGCAGGAGCGTGGAGAAGAAGGAATTGCCGAATAACCACCCTCCTAGGGGGTGATTTCTCATTTTCCCTCTTTGGTGAGCACACATGCCCTATGGCAAAAATCTAAAAATGAATGAAAAAAGAAAAGCTAAAGGACTAAACTTACTCTGATCGAAGGTGACAGTGAAGGTCAACATGGAAAACTATTGAATTAGTTTCACTATTTTATTTTTTAGGTTTTTGTCACGGTGTGTGCACTCACCGGAGAGAGTCAGCGAGAGGAAAAGTAAGAAGTCACTCCTCGAGAGGAGGACCACACCTTAATCCTTTGTCCTCCATTCTCTTGTGGTTTTGGGTATGCACACACAGGCACCTGGTGTGATTTTCAAGCTGCTAGGTCTGGGTCTTAAATCATGATTGGTCATGTGGGAGGCCAGCGCTTTAGCCACTAGACCACCCTCAGTTTCTCCATTTTAAATGCTGTGTCTTAATGCACTTAGAGCTTTTTGTGGTTGGGCAGGGAGGAGTCCACCTTTTGTTAAGGTGACCTGTGTCACAAACTGTGCAAGAATTCACAGACTCAGAGAGTGACTGTATAGAAAAGATTTTCACTTGCTGAGGGAGGAAAGGGACAGATGCAGAGAGTTGCATCTGTCCAGAGGGTGGGGGTTAGGAACTCCTAAAGAAAAGGGATTTAGGACGGATAATTTAGGTGGTCTGGAAATAGGATTCCAGGTGACCTTTTACAGCTTCTGGGCTGTTCAGTTGTTGTCTCCCGGGTAAGTCAGCCACCTGCAGTAAGATCAGGTAGTCACCCTTTCTTCCATCCTTTCAGATGGAAATCTTCCTCTGAGCCCAAGAAATTTCCCACTGGAGCATACCCCTCCCCACCCCAGACCAGCCAGACCATTCTAACCCTGGACCCCCCTCCCCACCCACCACAATGCCGGGAGACCTTGCCTTCCCTCCTAAACAGCCCAGTTGGGGGACAAATGTCCAAGGGTTAATCCCTAAAAAAAAAAAAATGCCTGAGACATCTGGGGAGGTTTTTGTTGTTGTTGTTGTTGTTTTAAAGAATTGTTTTATTTAATTTTCTTCTTTCTTTTTTTTTTTTTTTAACTTGACCAGAGAGAGGGAAAGTGACAAGGCAAGCCACCAGATTTAGGACTGGAAGGGGAGGTTTGAATGTGCCCTTCCCATTAGAGTGCCTAAGACTTCTGAGAGATACTGAATATGCCCTTTCACCTCTGACTTCTGTTTTCTCAGTTTTGTATCTTTTTTTAAACGTCTTAACCATAAGATGCATATCTTTAATGTGCATCTGATATTTCTGTCTAACTTTTTTGTATCTAATGTACATACAAGAGTGTATGTAATATTTACACTTTAAAGAATTTAATCATCCATGGGGCCAGCAGGTAGCATGGTGGTTAAGGTCTTGGATCCCACATGGTGAATTCTAAAGTTTAAGTCCTGGACCTAGTAGCTTGAAAACCATGCCAGGCACATGTGCATGCATGTCCAAAACCCTGAGAGGAGAATGGAGGAGTAGGAAATGTAGTGATTTCTCACTTTCTCTCTCTGTCTCTTTCTCTCTCTCTCATACACACACACACACACACACACACACACACACACACACACACACTTCTTTATGGTAAAATTCTAAAAAAAGAAAAAAACCCACATTCATCATGAACCTACCAGCTGGCCTAAATGACTCACCACTCTAGCCACGAAGACCTCTGTGTTTCATGGTTGTAGTACCATGTTAATTGCTTTTTGAATTTATTAAAATAAACTTGTCTGGTAATAAGGAAAACTGAACTATCATACCCCTGTGACCAAAGACAACTTCAGTTCGAGGCCGAGTGGGGCTTGGTTTACCTGTTTCCACAAAACCTACACATTCCTCTTACTTTGTTCTTTCCCTGAATTGCCCAGGCCCCTGTCTTGTAGTTCCTATGGATGGGTCTGCCCCCCTCCAGGACACTCTCAACGCTTAATCAATGCGTGGTCAACCTGAGTGTCTGTTCTTGGAGGTAGAGCAAATGGCTGCCCCTAGCCACTCTCCTTCATAGCTGCAGGGCCTTTCCAACACAGACCCGGATGTTAGCTGGCTTTCTTCCAAGTCCCTGTGACCACATTATGCAAACCTTTGTCTTCAAAATGTGCTTCCCACACTGGGGCTTTCCTGTCAAGGCCAGATTTATTATTTTTTTCTTCCTGTCCTTATATTTTGGTTCTGTCTTCATGCCAGCTTGTTTACTTTAAGTCTGTTTCTAAAATGCTTTTTAAATTCAAATATGCCAACATGATTGCCAAATCATTGATTATACCTCTGATTTTTGACTCATAACATATACCGAATATTACTGTGCTTAAATGCTTAGCTTGGGGCTCTAGGTGACGGAGTGGTAAAGGCGCCCGATTCTCACATGGCCAGGCACAGTCTGAGCCCCAGACTTGGCAACTTCCTTTCTCATTACCCCCCCTCTCATTGTCTGTCTCTCTCTTCTCAAATTTTTAAAATAATAATAAATAAAATTAAATGAAGTGTTCTTTAAATAAATGCTTAACTCACTCTGCTCCCACTGATGGAGCTTCACCCAGTTCACCAGGAAATATGCATTTATTTAAAAGATTGAAACAGTACCAGCCTGTAATCTAGCAGTTAAAAGAGCCAGATTCCACATGGCCAACCATAGTTTGCGTCCAGCCTCAGTGGACTGGAAAACACCCTAGGCACGTGTGTGTATATGCCCAGAATCCCGACAGGATGGAGAAATGGAGGAGATGGATCATGGCTGGGCCATGCCGTGGGGAGTGCTTTCTCCCTCTCCCTCTTTATGCTCCATGCACATGCCCTCTAGTAATTTCTTTTTTAAAAATAAAAGATTAAAATATATTTTTTCCAGAGACAACTACTATAGAATACTTTTTGTTCATTATCTACAATTTCCTTTCTTTCAGCTTTCTAGGAATTTTTTTTTTCTTGACAGATTGTCCCGGTGGCAAGTGCATCGCAGCTTACCCTGGTGGACCTGATCTGTGCACTCAGCACTCTGCAGACTGACACAGTGCTGCACCTGGCCAAGGAGGTGGTGAAGAGGCCACAGCAAATCAAGGGGGATGAGGTGAGATGCCCCGGGAGGCCTCCAGTCTGTCTTAGTGAAACTGCAGACACATGAGTGGCCTTCCTTTAACTCTGCTTTCTCAGAAATTGTGTTTGAGAAGGAACTAGCAATAGATAGGTAGCAAAAATAAGTAGGAATTCAGGGTTGTAAAATAGTTATTGCTACCATGCTTTGAGGAAGACCCCCCCTTTTTTTTTAAGGTATGGGAACTGCTTGGGGTTGGAAATGTCTCTCAGTCTGAAAGCTGAGTACTTATCACTTGTGCCAAATGCTATGAAATATTTAGAAGGAGAAAGCTGCATTGTCTCAAGGAGTGGGTAGCCTAAAAGGTGTCAAGGTAAACAAAGCTGGGCTCCTGGTGCGAAATAGTAAACACACATGGGATTCAGTAACTGCTACAACGGGAAGGGCTGAGCTCAGTTCCAGTTCGTGCAGAGATGACTAAAGGGAGAATCAGAGAACAGGGAGAGGGAGTGAGCAAGGCCGCAAATGGAATCGGGAGGTGGAAAATTACAGCAGAGCAGTTAGAGCGGTCGATGGTCACCATGATTGGGCCATTTGGGTTTGCTAACTGGTGCTTATCAAAGGTAGGCTTGCCCTCTCCCAAAGACAGGAGACAGAGCGCCCATCTTGTAAGATAACATTTTCAAGGGAGGACTCTCAGATCCTTGAGAAGACATCATTGGGTGATAGGAGACACATGTACATCTCAACAGGGAGTATTTGTAATCATCCGTTTTTTTTGTTGTTGTTGTTTTTGTTGTTTTTTTTTTGGTTGTTTTTTAATAAATAAATGCTCTAAGAAAGGGAGATAAGGGGCCTAAAGTCAGGTGTTGGCAGGATCAAACATGAATTCTTTTGGCCACTTTGAGTTTTCTCATGCATTTCAAGGCAGCTGGGTCTTCATCTTGGGGCAGGGCCTTGTCCTGCTAGACCCATGCTAGTGTTTGCTTAAGTCTCTTAGTGTGAGGGTGGATAAAATAATTTGTGTTGAAAGTCCTTATAGGCCAGAGTTCAGGTCTCATTGAGAAGAAGGCTTAGAGATACCTGACTCGAGTATGGTCAACAGAGACAGTGGGGCAAGTTAAAAATTTGCATAATTTAGAAAACACAAATAGAACATGAATGTCCAGGGACATAGCTCATCTTAGACATTTTTTAAAAGAATTTTTATTTTATTTGTTATTATCATTATTATTACTTTTTAATTTGACTAGAGAGAGACACAGAGAAAGGGAAAGTGAGAAAGCAAGTCACCAGGTCCAGGACTCAAACTGCTGTTGGCCACATGGGAGTCCAGAGCCTTAGCCACCATGTCACTTGCCAGCCTCTCATCTTAGACATTCTGAGAAAGGAGAGATATTATCTGGCTGTAGTGAATAGAAGACTTTAGAGCGATGCCATTGAACCACAAAAATGCCTCATATTTTTTCTGCTCAGTTTCTGCATAGCAGTCAAGTGGTCTGTGTTCGGATAAAGATTTTTTCAGTTATATTCAGTGTATTTGAAACAGGACAGACTGTGGTTTAATACTTTTTATGCCTTTAGAAATATTAGTTTTTAACAAAGCAGACCTTATTATTGAAAGTATAGGAGCTATTTCACTCTTGATTGATTAATTTGATAGGTGGGACCAGCAGATGGCATAATGGTTGCATCACTGGACTCCCACATAGTTGATCGCAGTTCAAGTCCTGGACCCGGAGGCTTAAACTCATGCCAGGCAAATGTGCGTACATGCCCAAAATACTGAGAGGAAAATGGAGAGAAGGGATTGTGATGTGGCCTTCCCCTTACGGAGATAATTTCTTGCTTTCTGTCTCTCTGGCAAGCACATGCACCCTATAGCAAAAATCTTTCTCTAAAAAAAAAGATAATTAATTTGATAGAACAGGAATTTATTCCAATCACTTTTTTTGAAAAAAAAAATTTATTTAATTACATTTATTTATTTATTTATTATTTTTTTAATTTGACCAGTGAGAGACAGAGAGAAAGGGAAAAGGAGATAGGTCTAGGACTTGAACCACCGTCACCCCTGTGGGAATCCAGCGCCTCTAACCACAACACCACTTGCCATTCCCTATTTCAGTAACTTGAAACATGGAACAATTGTCTTCTATCAGATAATTTTAAATCACACAATTAAGAAAAGTTTAAGCATAACTTTCTAAATAAAAATTACCAGAATGGAAAAAATGGTTATTCATATATATAATTTGGGCTGGCCCTGTGCCCTGGTGGTTAAGGGATCCAGACTCACTGTGAGGTTAGAGCCACAGACCTGATAACTTGGAAAACATGCTGGATATGTGTGAATGCATGCGCCAGATTCCTTTCAGGGATGGAGATGGAGAAGGGATTGTGGTGTGACCGTGCCTCATTGGGGAGTGCGTACTTCCCCTCCCAGTCTGCCTTTCTCTCTGAAGAGCACACTCCCCAGCAGTGGTGCAGTGGGGCAGCAGGGCCAGTATGTGAGTGGTAAAAGAATTTACCGAGAAATGTGAGCATGAGAAGAAGTTAAATTTATTAGAGCTCCTTGGGCGAGAATACCAGGGAGACTGGAGAGACGGCCTGGGGTGAGACCCCCGGGAGACTGGATGAAGACTGCCTGGGGTAAAACCCCTGGGACACTGGGTGAGACTGCCTGGGGTGGGACCTGAGCAGGTTCAAGCCTCTTGGTGGGGAGGGCCTCCTTTTTATGGGGATGGTAAGGATAAACTCTGAGCTCTGGTCAGGATTGGAGGCTTGTTGTTTCTCAGGAATGTGGAAGTCTATCATCCTCAGAGATTGCTTGGGGTTGGTGCCAGAAGGGGCTCCAGAATGTTTGTTTCACCTGTTGTAAAAGCTTATCTTAGTGGAGGCACTTTATCTTGGGCCCTTAACCTGAGCAAGGGTTTTTAGGCCCTCTTCATTAAAGCTTGGTTGTCTGTTTTCTTACAAATCCTCCACAGTGCCTTCTGGCAAATTATTCACAAAAGGCAGAAACAACCCAAGTATATACAGCAGGAGATGAATGTTAAACAAAATGAGATATCTAGATGCAGTGCATTTAGTGCTCAGCCTTAAAAGGATAAACCTTGAAGATACTGTGTTGTGAAACAAATCTGTCACAGAAGGACGGATACTGTGTGATTCCATTTACGCAAGGAACCTGGAGCAGGCAAAGTCATAGAGACAGAAAATAGAATGGTGTTTACCAGCGGCTGGAGAGTGGGGAGAATGGAGGTCTAGTGTTTAACAGGTACAGAATTTCAGTTTAGGAAGAAGGGAGTTCTTGAGATGGACGGTGATGGTGTTGCACAACAGTGTGAATGTAAGGAATGTCATTAAGCTGTATGCTTTAAAATTATCAAAATGGTAAGCTTTATGTTGTTTATATTTTGCCATAATAAAAATTTATGGTGTAAATAAGGAATATCGTTTCAGATATTGAGTTAATCTCACTAAGAGGGTCAACAAAAGCAGCCCGTTGGGTTCAGAGATATTTTTTTCCAGCCTTTTTTTTTTTTTTTAAGAGATTTTTTGCTGAAGGGCACATGCTCTTGGTGGAGAGACATAGAGAAAGCAAGAAATCACCCTCCAGGGGGGATGACCACACTGCAATCCCTTTTCCTCCATTCTCTGGGAATTTTGGGCACACCCGCCTCCATTCTCCTCTGGGAATTTTGGGCACACCCACAAATGCACCCAGCGTTTTTCTAGATTCCGGATCTGGGACTTAAACTGCGGTCGACCATGTGAGAGTCTAGCGCCTTAACCACTGTGCCACCTATTGGCTCCCAGCTATTTTTTTAAACTTATAGTGGAAAACTGACCACAGTGTATCATTAGCGGTTTGGTTTTGTTTTGTTTCTCAGGTTTCTACTATAGGGTGTATTTGTTCACCAGAGAGAGGGAAAGTAAGAAATTACCCACCAAGGGGGGGTTGGGCTACACCATGGTCTCTTCTCTTCCATTCTCTCAGAATTTTGGGCATGTACACACTTGTACCCAGTATGATTTTCAAGCTGTCGAGTCTGGGGCTTGAACCAGATCAGCCATGTGAGAACCCATCATTTTAACCACCTGCTGGTCCCATGCTTGCCTTAAAGTAGAACTCTTTGGTTTGGTTTGGTAGTCCTGCCCTATTCTGCATGTGGCACAGGGTGGCCCTCTACAGGAAGGTTGGATTCTGAGGGCCTAGCCTTTATGGACCCCAACCAGGCCATCGTACTCAGGGCCCTGGTCCCTTCTTTCATTCCAATGTTTATTAAAAATCAACTATGTGTGGGGCCAACAGGAGGAGGTGGTTTAGGTGCTGAACACTCCCACATAGCCAACCACGGTTTGAGTCCCAGACCTGATGGCTTGCTTTCTCATTTTCCTTCTCTCTGTGTGCCTCTCTCTGGTCAAATTTAAAATTAATTAATTAATTAATAAAAATTAAATAAATCTTAAGAAAAAAAAAAAAAAAACTATGTAGCCAGAGCAGCCCAAGACGGCCAACTTCAAAGATCAGGTGTCAGATGAGGAAAAGGTATACATAGCTGCTAAATTCACCACTCGTGCACCCCCAGGGGAGTTTAATGAAGTATTTAATGATGTCTGACTACTACTTAATAATCTTCTCAGGGAAGGGGCAGCACATGCATTTGCCCAGTACAGTGTGGATCCGTTCACACCTGTAAAGATAGGAGGCTACAAAGATCAGATCTTAATTATAGAGCATGGTGACCTGGGCCATAGCAGATTTTTAGATCCAAGAAACAAAATTTCCTTTAAATTTGATCACTTATGGAAAGAAACAAGTGGCTCCAGCCAGAGGAAACAGATGGAGGTCCGAAATCTTTTTTTTTTTTTTTAGAGAGGTTTTTTGCTATAGGGTGCGTGCGCTTGCCAGACAGAGAGAGAGAGAGACAGAAAGCAAGAAATCACCCCCCAGGGGGGATGGCCACGCCACAGTCCCTTCCCCTCCATTCTCCTCTTGGGATCTTGGGCACGCACGCACATGCGCCCGGCGTGAGTTTTAAGCCACCGGGTCCAGGACGTGAACCGCGGTCGACTACATGGGAGTCCAGTGACATAGCCATTATGCTAACTGCTGGTCTCAAAGAGGTCCGACATCTTGGAGAGAGTCCTGTGACAGTGCTTTACGAGCCTATGTGAAAGATCATTATCCCAACAGCTTCTGTACTGTTTATGCCAAAACTATAGCTGGACAGCAGACCATTCTTGCATGTATGGAAAGCCACCAGTGTCAGCCTAGAAGTTCTGGAATGGTTACTGGAGATCAGAGTGGAAGTTCACCATCACACCACCCACACAGGCCAGGTGGTTAGAGTGCTTAAGATTCAGGTTCACTGTTAGGAGGATGGCAATGTTCAGTTGGTTAGCCATAAAGATGTACTGGACTCAATAACTGTTTCGAATAAAGTCCAAACTGTCAAGGAGTTTATTAAAATCATAGAGAATGCAGAAAATGAATATCAGACAGCAGTTAGTGAAAACTGTCAATGTCAGGTACCACATTCAAAGCATTGCACCAGCAGCTTCCGGTTATTCGCACCACAATCACCTGGAACAAGATACTCAGCTACAAGATTGGCAAAGAAATGCAGAATACTTAGAGAAAGAAAGAAAGAAAGGTAGGATATAAGATTCTTTGATATGTGGAAAGAGAATAATTCAATGCCAACATATGGTCATAAGTTAAATAAGTGATGTTTAAACAAGAGTGATATTTTGCTAGGGCTTTCAAAGTTAACAGGTTTTCTAGCCTCATGAAATACTGTTGAACCTAAAGCATTGTCTTGGTTCCTTTGTGTTCTCTCATTGTAATTTTTTGTTATTACCATTCCTACTTGTAAATCTTTTGTTGGAAATTTTGCTACATTTAATGTTGGAGAGAGAGATGGGGGTAGGAATCAACTATGTACATCAAGGGGTGGGGAATCCTAAATAGTGATAAAACAATTCCTAGGCCAGCTGGTGGGGTAGTGGGGTAGCTGAATCTCACATGGCTGACTGCACGGTTTGAGTTCTGGACCTGGCAACTTGAAAAACACACCAAGTGCATGTACATGTGTGCCCCAAGTCCCCAAACAAGGAAGAGGTGGAAGAGAAGGGATGGCAGGGATTGCAGTGTGACCATTCCCCAAGAAGGAAGCTTTCTCACTCTTCTCCAAGTGTGCACACCCTCTGGCAAACTAAAAGTTCCTGTCCTTGGTGCACCTATATCCTAAATTAGGAAAGAAGTGGGAAAAGAGAAGTCACCTTAAAAATTAACACTAAGAAGGCAAGTTATGGAGCAGCTAAGCTTAAGGACTTGGATGTCAAAGGACACGGGTGGACAACTTCCACAGTGCCGAGGGCCCTGTCCAGGGCTCCAAGGACATGTGTCTTTCTGCTGCACCGTAGTACCTAAGTATGAAAGTAATACAGCCCTGGCAGTAAGGATGACAGCACTGGGAGAAGCGGGACAGGTCCTCAGACAGTTTGTGTTTATGACCCTGAGCAAGTCTCATGTGTCAGGAAATGACCCTCCTCACCATGGAAGTGCTGGCGACTATGGCTTTGGCGCTGAAGAAGCACAGGGGAGCCATCCCCCTCAAGGTAGCTCTGGAGCATCTCTTTCTACAGACAGAGCATCCTCAGGTCCTGTTCCTTTACATTACTTGACTTTTCTGCAAATATCTGGAACTTCCGCTCTTGTCTCATGCTAAAAAGGAACTGGGTCTCATGTGGATGACTGGTTTTTGGCAGTTTAGATAACAAAGTTACATTTTGTGGTTAATTAGCTCAGCTTCTATAAATAACTTCTTACAAGTAAGGAGGGGAAAAATATATGTTTTGAAACGAGTTTCTAGGTGGTTTCAATCACTTGAGGTTAGGGAATTAGTCTGGGCTGGGATTGAGGAATTCTCCCTTTCTCGCAGTTTTTTTGTTTGATTTTTGTTTTTGTTTTTTAATTTGCTAGAGGGCCGGTACCTGGGAGGAGTGGCAGTGAGAAAGCACCTCCCGTGGGACATGGTCACTCCACTTGCCCTCCTTTTACACCTTTCCCTCTTTTCAGGATTTTGAGCACACAGGCACACAGGCTTGGCATGTTTTTCAAGTCACCAGGTCCAGGACTCAATCCATGCAGCTGGCCATGTAGGATCCAAACGGCCTTAACCACCACACCATCAAGTGGCTCAAGGAGATCTCTTAAGTAAAAAATTACGATTTTTGGGGGGCTGGCAGGTGGCATGGTGGTTAAGGGTGCTGGACTCCCACATGGCTGACCACAGTTTGAGTCCCAGATCTGGAGACCTGCTTTCTCACTTTCTCTCTCTTTCTCTCTGTCCCTCTCTGGTCAAATATAAATAAATAAATAAATAAATAAATAAATAAATAAATAAAGTTAAATAAAATAATTCTTTAAAAAAAAAGAATTTGAATTTTTTTATTTTGCCCATAGGTAATCACATGCATTCTTTAGGGTCAGCACTGACTCTCAACTTACTGTTTGAGAAGGTTCAGTTATAATGCCAAATTTTCCCTGAATGCCTGTTGATACCCTGGAATGGAAATTAGGTAAACAGAAAAGGAAGTCACTGTGGAAGTCTGCTAAGAGGGGAACTAATTATTTGGGACCTCATAGGATACACATGTTTTCATTGTACACGTTGATTCAGTCATGTTTGTTGTTATACCTGAACATTTTTTTTTAGCTAAAATCCTTTGCTTTGTTAGAGTATGGAATTGATTTTATTTTTCGTTTGAATTACTTTTTAGCCTTATTTTCTACCAACCTGAAATAATTGGTTTTGCTTTAATTTTCAGAAATCACCCCTAGTGGATATTCCTGTGTTGCAGTTTTGCTATGCTTTTATCCAAAGGTAATGCAGTCTTCTCAAAAACATTCCTGAATTACAGATTCTATTGTAGTGACCATAAATGATAATTGTGGTTTTAATTCTTGATCCCTGGAGAGACTTACTTCAACAAATATCTTTTTTGGGGCCAGTGGGTGGTGTGGTGGTTGAAGGTTCAGGATTTCCACATGGCCGACTGTGGTTCAAGTCCCAGACCTGGTGGCTTGCTTTCTCATTTTCCCTTTCTCTCTTTCTCTTCTCTGTCTGGTCAGATTAAAAAAATAACAACAAATGGAGTTGAATAAATAAATAATTCTTTAAAAATATATCTTTTTAAAAAATTTTATGTAGTTATTATAGAGTAGCATATGCTCACATAGAGAGAGAAAGAGAAGTACCTTTGACAGAGTCTTGTCACGCCACCATCTCCTTTCCCAGCCATCCAGCTCGTCAGGGTCGTGGGGACATTAGCTCGGCATGTTTTTTAAGCCACCAGGATAGGACTCAAATCGCAATCAGCCACGTGCTGACTGTGCTGCAGGACTGACCTTACTGGGCCCATTTCAGATCCTACAATGGCAACATCCTGGGCTCGGCTCCCAGGCCCTTTCTCTGTTGCAATAAATGGGGATGAAGAGAGTACAGACCATTTCTCAAGGAAGCCTCATGTTCTTACACATTGATTGGCTGTCTCAGAAATAGTAACACAACAACCAGGCACAGTATCCTTGGTTCAAATAGTTAAGGCTCCAGGTATTCCCACTCGTCACATTCTACGGTTGTAGAAAGGTAAATGGGAGATCAGAATCCCAGGAGTTGCTGGGTTTAGGGTGAAATTCAGACCAGCTGTTACCCCTTCACCCCCTCTAGTTCTTTCCTTTAGAGGTTAAACTTGAGCAGATCACTTCTCTAACGACAGTATTAGGTACTGAGGTACTACGCGATGTTCAGTGTAGTGCCTGAGCAATAATATGAGCTTTCCCAGCAGCCACAGCTTAGGTTTGTTTGTTTGTTTGTTTTTGTTGTTTTTTTTTTAATCATCCTGCTCTTGCAGAGAAGTGCCAAGTCAGATAGGAGAGAGTGGGTTGGGGGGCCAGGACTGGGCACTACGACCCCTGACTGCACTGTGCACTTTAGTACACTGTGCTGCCTGCTTTGCAGCAGTAACTTGTGATCCTCCTCATTCCCCAGGAGGCTTGGCCTGAGAGTTACCTGGGAGGAGGTGGGTCGATTTTCTGGTGGGGATTCCCTCACCTACGGGCTTTGCAACCTTCTCACCACTGGTGTTGTGTTAACAACAGGGCAGCCGAATGTTAGAGCTAGAGGGCCTGAGAGATCAGTCGACCAGCTAGTTTATGGCTTTATTGTATAGACATGGAGACAGGAGTATCTCACTGGTCAGTAATGTGACGTCAGGTTCCCAAACTCCAAGTGCTTGCCGGAATACCTACATCTAGCTTCTACGTATTACACTAAAAAAGGAAGAAGCAAGTCAGTCAGATAGACCACCTTCCCCTCTGCTTTCTAGTTGCCCAGATCTAAACTGTGCTTGTAAGTCAATATTGTGTTTTAGCATTTTCATTGTTGCATATTTTTTTCCTTTTTTTTTTTTTTTTTAATAGACTCCCGATACCAGCCTTGCAAGAGAACTTCCCTTCATTGTTGGGAGTGTTGAAGGAGTCTGTACAGCTCAATCTAGCTCCCCCTGGCTATTTCCTCCTTCTCAGGTATCACATCATTGCATTCACATTGATGATGTATTTTCTATTGGAACATATTTTATTTCTGCAGCATTTTTTATCTGAAGCTGATTGTCTCTCAACAGCATGTTGAATGACTTTGTAACAAGAACACCCAACCTGGAGAGCAAAAAGGATCAAAAAGACCTGCAGGTCTGTATGAGAAAAACTCTAGCAAAATATTGTTCCTGAGGTATTGTCTATATTTGGGGGTATCATTGCAGATAATAAACACTGGGCCAGTTCTGGTCTTAGCTGTGCATTGGTTCACAAGCCTGACTTCCACCAGCATTGTAAGAGGGTCAGACACTCAGCCATGCTTACTTATATGACGCTTAAGTAATCTTCCATGGAGTCTGCAGGATGCTTCCCTCCTACTCCCCACTGTTTGCAGATGTCTCTGTGAAGCGTGATGAAATATAAATCTATTTCTGTACATGAGTTTCTTTCCTTAAGCCTTTCCTTTCCCCCCACTATAAAAGCAATACAATTACGAAAATATTGAAAAATAAGAAGGGTGAACCTACTCTCTGGGCTTGGGAGCAGCTTTGGGGCTTTTTGCACACCATCACCCACCCTCTGGGATACCTAAGCCTGATCAGGGCAGGTTTCCTTGGGCGAGCCTGTGCCAGAGTTTGGGAGCAATTTTGAAACTTTCAGCACACCATCACCCACTGCTCTGGAGGCCTGGGCTTGAATCATCTGCCAGAATACTTAAGCCTGGTCTGGGAAGGCCTCCTCAGGTGAGTCCATGCTCAGGGCCTAGGAGCTATGTTGGGGCTTTTGGTACACCAACCCATGCGCTGCACATGTGCAGTGTGCAACTTGACCTTCTTCACTAAGCTGTATTTCCTTAGATTGCTACCACCTTACCAAGAGCTAAACATTTTGACAGAGGAGCCAAGCACCTGAAGTTACCCCTAACTGCTCTGACCTGGGAGACAAAGCCCTCCAGTAGGAACACAGCTGGGAACTAAAGGTGAAATTTCCTCTACCAGTACTACAAAATCTTTTCTTATAAATAGAAAAAGTGAATACTGCATCAGATGATGAAACCACCGCAGAAACATGAGAAAACAAGGTGAGCGGCGTAGCCCCTCTCTGATAGTGGATAGCACAGAGAAATACACAGAAATGTCAGAAAAAGAATTCTGAATATTCATAGTGACAAAATTCAATGAGATGCAAGAGGAAACAGTTCCCGGAAATGAGAAAATCATTTCAGGACATGAAAGAATAATCCCATGAAAAAATAGATAACCTAAAAAATAATCAAACAGAACTTCTGGAAATACAGAACACAATACAAGAAATTAAAGTCTCCCTGAAAGCATTAACAGCAGATTGGACCATGCAGAAGAAAGAATTTATGACCTGGAAAACAAAGTCTCTAGTATAGAAAATCACCAAAAAGAAAGAAAAAAACAACCAAAAAAAAAAAAAATGAGGACAGCATATGGGAAATTCTAGGCACCATGAAACGTCCGAATAATATCCATATAAGGGGTATTCCGAAAAGGGACCAGCAGATAGTGTAATGGTTATGCCTCTGGACTCCCACGTAGTCAACAGCTGTTCAAGTCCTGTACCGGGCGGCTTAAATTCACACCAGGCATGTGTGCATGCCTGCCCAAGATGTCAAGGGGAGAATGGAGGAGCAGGGATTGTGGTGTGGCCATTCTCCCTGCCCACTGTGGGGGAGTTGATTTCTCACTTTCTATCTCTCTGTCTGTCTGGTGAGTGCATGTGCCAAGGAAAAAACCCCCTAAAAAAAAAAAAAAAAAAAAAAAGAAAAAAAGAAAAGAAAAAAGAAAGAAAGAAAAAGGAAATACTGCCTGAAAAGTTTCCAAATATAGAGAAACATGGAGAAATTCAGACCCAGGAAATGAGGAGTACCCTAAAAAGATTCAATCTTAAAAAGATCATCCCCTGGCACATCATACCCAAATTGGTAAAAGTTAAAGACAAAGCCAATATTCTAAAAATGGCAAGGGAGACACATCAAGTTACTTATAAAGGTTATCAATTAGGCTAATGTCAGACTGCTCAACTGAAACAATTCAGGCAGGGGAGAAATGGGAAGATGTATTTATTTGTTTATTTATTTTAAGAGTTCAGCTTTTTATTGAACACATTACAAAATAGATTTAGTCAAAAAGACCAAAGTCCATGTCATCATTCGATTCTTCAGATTCTTCTTTCTTTGCTTCTACTTTCTTCTCTTCAGCTGGGCAGCAGTAGCTGTGGGGGCTGGACCTCCAGCAGGTGCAGCACCAGCTGCTGGTGCAGGTCCACCTGCCCCTACGTTCAGATGAGGCTCCCAATGTTGATGTTGGCAAGGGCCTTCGCAAACAAGCCAGGCCAAAAAGGTTCCACATTTACACCAGCTGCTTTAATGAGGGCACTGATCTTATCCTCCATGACGGTCACCTCGTGGTCATGCAGGATGAGGGCTGAGTAGATGCAGGCGAGCTCGGAAACAGAGGCCATGGTGAGGACGGGTGCGGAGTAGGTGCTGCCGGACGCGGTGCTAGTCGCCGGATGAAGTGAGGGCCTCACCCCAACACGGCCTTAGCTTTCTTGGAAGAACCGAGAACCTTAGCGGCAGCTGAGCAAAGGGGTGGGAAGATGTATTTAAAACATTAAAAGAAAAACACTTTCAACCAAGAATACTGTATCCAGCAGGATTAGCCTTCAAATGGGAAGAACAAATAAAAGTATCCTTGGGACCAGCAGATGGCATAATAGTTATGTTGCTAGACTCCCACGTAGTCAACCACAGTTTGAGTCCTGGACCTGACAGTTTGAAATTCACACTGGGCACATGTGCATGTGTGCTCAAAATCCCAGAGGAGAATGGAAGAAAAGGGATTGTGGAGCAGCCATCCCCCTGGCGAGGTGATTTCCTGTTTTCTGACTCTTCAGCAAGTGCTCACACCCTATAGCAAAAAAAATTCTCTCAAAAGTAAATAAGTAAGTAAATAAATAAATAAATAAAAGTATTTTCAGATAAACAAAAACTGAAAGGATTCACCAATAATCAACCAGCTCTACAGGAAGTACTGAGGGGATTGTTGTATCAGGTTAACTAAGGAGAGACAAATAGAAACAACAAAAAGCAACTGAGAAAATGGCTAAGAAAATAACAGGGATAAATCCGCAAATATCAATAATAACATTGAATGTTAATAGATTAAATTCTCCGGGAACCAGCAGTTAGTGTAATGGTTATGTCACTGGACTCCCACGTAGTCGACCGCGGTTCGCGTCCCAGACTCAGTGGCTTAAAACTCAATGCCGGGCGCGTGTGTATGCCTGCCCAAGATCCCGAGAGGAAAATGGAGGAGAAGGGATTGCGGCGTGACCATCCCCCCAGGGGGTAATTTCTTGCTTTCTGCCTCTATGTCTCTCTCTGTCTGTCTGGTGAGCGCATGCACCCTATAGCGAAAACCTCTCCAAAAAAAAGAAAAAGATTAAATTCTCCCATTAAAAGACACCGACTGGCTGAATGGATACAAAAACAGAAGACATCTATATGCTGCTTATAAGAAACACACCTCACCATTAAGGATATACATAGAATTAAAGCGAAGGACTGGAAAAACATATCCCATACAAATGGGAACTAAAAAAGCCTGGAGTAGTGATACTGGTATCAGACAAAATAGCTTTTAAGATGAAGATGTAAAAAGTGACAAAGAAGGACATTATATAGTACTAAAAGGACTTGTCCACCAAGAAGATATAACACTTGTAAATATCTGTGCACCCAACACTGGAGCTCCTAAATGCATCAAAGAGACATTGTTAGATCTCAAGGGAGAAATAGACTGCAACTCAATAATCGTAGATCTCAGTACCTCACTGACTCCTCTGGACGGCTCATCTAGACAAGAAATAAAGAAAAGATCTAAATGATACCATATATGAAGTGGATTTGACAGATATGTACAGAGCATTTCACCCAGCTACCACAAAATACATATACTTCTCACCTCCACAAGTAATACTTTCAAAGATTGACAACATGATAGGACACAAAACAAGCCTTTACAAATTCAAAGGTGTAGAAACTATATCTAGCATCTTTTCCAACCACAATGGGATCAAACTTGAACTAGAGAAAGAACCCTCAAAAATTAACAAACACATGGAAATGAAACAATGTACTCCTGAATGACTTTACAACTATAGAAGAAACTAAGGCCGAACCAACGATATTGAACAAACAAGTGTTTATAACCATGGTACACAGCAAATGCAGCCGTAAGAGGGAAGTTAACAGCAATTAGTGCCTACAAGATAAAAGCAGAAAGGTAGCAAATAAATAACCTAACAACACAACTTAGGGAACTGAAAAGACAAAAAATTTCAGGAGAAAAATAATAAAGATTCAAGCAGAAAGAAAATAGAGAATAAAAGAACTGTACAGAAAATAAATGAAACCAAAAGCTGGTTCTTTGAGAAAATAAACAAAATTGATACACAATTAACTAGATTAATCAAGAAGAAGGGAGAAAGGAACCAGATAAATCAAATCAGCAAGGAAACAGGCGTTACTACAATGGATATAACAGGAAAACAAAATATCAGAGAATACCATGAATGACTCTATGCCAGCAAACAAAAAAACCTGGATGAGATGGACAAATTTATGGACTCATATAACTTACCAAGATTGAACCAGGAAGAAATAGGAAGTCTGAATGGGCCCATAACAAGCAATGAGATTGAGTTAGTAATAAATAGTCTCCAAACAAGGTCCAATGACTTTACTTCTAAATTCTACAAAACCTTTAAAGTAGAACTAACCCCAATTCTTCTTAAACTAGTTCTAAAAATTCAAAAGGAAGGAAACCTGAATTCACTCTATGAGGCCTCCATCATCTTAATTCCAAAACCAGACAAGGACATGACCAAAAAACACTTCAGGCCCACATCCCCTGATGAATACAGGTGTACTAGCAAAGCGTATTCAACAACATATTAAAAAGATTATACATCATGACTAAATAGGCTTTATTCCAGGGATGCAAGGATGGTTCAACACATCCAAAACTATAATACATCACATTAACAAAAGGAGAGAGAAAAAACATACGGTCATATCAATCAATGCAGAAAAAGCACCTGATAAAATACGACATTCCTTCATGATTAAGACTCTTAGCAAAACTGGTATAGAAGGGACATTCCTCAGCTAACATCATACTAAATAAGGAAAACCTGAAAGCGTTTCCACTAAAAACTGGAACAAGGTAAGGTTGTCCACTTTTCCACTCCTTTTTAACATAGTACTGGAAGTTTTAGCCAGTGCAATTAGACAAGAGAATCAAATAAAAGGCATCCAAATAGGAAAATAAGTGAAATTATCTCCATCTGTAGACAATATGATGCTTTACATAGAAAATACAAAAGAATCCACCAAAAAACTCCTGGAAGTGGTAAATGAATGTAGTAAAGAGGCAGGATACAAAATCAACATACAAAAATCTATAGCATTTTTATACACCCAACAACGGACAAACTGAGACAGAACTGAAGAAATAAATCCCATTTACAATTGCCACAAAACCAATAAGATATCTAGGAATAAACCTTACCAAAGATGTCAAAGATCTCTACAAGGAAAACTATGAAACACTAGAAAAAGAATTTTAAAATGATACAAAAAAGTGCAAAAACATCCTATGTTCCTGGAGTGGAAGAATTAATATAATGAAGATGTCAATCCTACCCAAATTAATCTAGAAACTCAATGCAATCCCAGTCAGACTACCTCAAAGAAATAGAAAAAAAAAAATCACAAAATTTGTCTGGAAGCATAAAAGTTTCCGTTTCACCAAAGCAATACTGTGCAAGAGGAATAAATTAGGCATGTCACTTTCTGACCTCAAAACATGACAAAGCTGTGATCATTAAATAGCATGGTATTGGCACAAAAACATTTGGAGAACCCCCAAATGAACCTTAAAACATGCAGCCAACTGATCCTTTACAAAGGGCACAAGACTATCCAGTGGGAAAAAGAAAATCTCTTCAGCAAATGGTCCTGGGAGAATTGGCTATCCACCTGCAGAAGAATGAAACTGGATCCTTATCTCTGACCACTAACAAAAATTAACTCAAAATGGATTGAGGATCTAATCATAAAACCTCGAGGTATAAAAATAATGGTGGGAAACACAGGAAAAACTCTTGGAGACCTTAGAGTAGGCAAGGACTTCTTAAAGAAGACCTCCAAAGCACAGGCTGTAGTCCCCAAAATAGACAAATGGGACTATATTAGGCTGAGAAGCTTCTGCACAGCAAAATAATAAGAGTGAGAACACAACCCTCAGAGTAGGAGAATATATTTGCAAACTATACCTCACATTAGGGACTGAGAAACAGAATATACAGGGAATTCAGGCAGCTTACACACACACACACACACACACACACATCAATCCAATTAGAAGATGGGAAAACGAACTAAACAGACAGTTCTCCAAAGAAGACATACAAACGAATCAAAAGCATATGAAAATGTGCTCAACATCTCTTATCATAAGGGAAATACAAATCAGAACCCAATGAGATACCACATATCCCCAGTCAGAATGGCTAGAATTAAAAAAATAAGTAAGTGCTGGTGAGGCTGTGGTGAAAATGGAACCCTCCTGCACTGATGATGGGGATGCAAATTAGTACAGCCACTTTGGAAAATGATATGGAGATTCCTCAGAGACTTACAATAGAACTACCATGCAACCCAGTTATTCTACTCTTAGGTATTTACCCAAAGGAGAGAAAAATCCTTATTTGGAAAGACACTTAATACATCATGTTTATTACAGCATTATTTACAATTGCTAGGACATGGACGCAAATGTCCAAAAATAGATGATTGGGTTAAAAATGTGGCATATGTACTCTATGAAATACTACTCAGCCGTAAAAAACGAGACCCTGACATTTGATACAAAGTGGACAAACATGGAAGACTTAATCCTAAACAAAGCAGGCCAGACGATGAAAGACAGATTGTGTATGTACCCACTCGATATATCCCAGTTCTCTGCACTATATAGCAGAAACTGAACATTTGGAAGGTATAGAAACAGGGAAGGCAACAGTAGATACTAGAGAAAGTACATATAGGTGTAATACGGGGTGGGATAATGGAGGGAGGGAAACAGGGACTGAAAAAAAAAGGATGCTTAATTGACAAAAAAATGAAAAGGTATTTCCTGATGATAATGTATATAGTAATGTCTTTCTCTTAATGGATATGTATAGTTTTTTAGCTGGAAAAAGCAACGTTGTATACTGTAAAGATGAATGTGATTAAATGTAAATTTTTAAAAATTAAAAATAAATAAATAAATGGAAAAAATAAGGGACCAGCAGGAAGACATAATGGTTACATCACTGGAATCCCATATAGTCGACCACAGTTTGAGTTGCGGACCCAGTGGCTTAAACTCACACTGGGCGCATGTGCATGTGTTCCCAAGATCCTGGGAGGAAAATGGGAGGAGAAGGGACTACGGCATGGCCCTTCCCTCTGTGCGGTGATTCCTCACTTTCTTTCTCTGGCGAGCACACACACCCTATAGCAAAAATCTTTCTTAAAAAAAGAAAAGAAAAGAAAAGAAAAGAAAAATTCAACCATAGGAAAAGAATCTTTCTTAAAAAAAGAAAAGAAAAGAAAAATTCACCCATAGGAAGACTTAAAACTTCTCAGAGTAGAGTGCAGTGCAGCTAATAAATAGGAAATCATGATGGAGTTAGAAAAGCACTACTTTGCAACTATTATAAACATTGATTATCAGTGGTTTTTTTGTTGAAGGCTTTGATTTAAGCTGGGATTTGGAAGTTTTATGACTGGCCATATCACTGCTAATCATTAATGATCCATGCTGTTTGAGAAAAGTACATCCTGAAATAGCTTCACTTCCCCCAATTCTGTGCAAGTAGCACACCAGCTGTACAGCTGCCGCCCCTCAGTTCCTCAGCTCTCAACCACGATAAGTTCTGTAGGAAACATAACAAACCATAATTAGAAAATTTGAGTTAATCCTTTGGCCTTGACTCAAAGAGAAGGAAGCATGATTACAGTGCAGATACTAGGTCCCCTTGGACTCAGAGCACTTGCCGAATTAAGCTCAGGAGCCCTCCCCACATGTGTGTCCAGCTACCTCTTGCGGGCTGCCCTCTCTTTTATTTATTTATTTTGGAGAGGTTATTGCTATAGGGCGCGTGTGCTCGTCAGAAAGAGACAGAGAGACAGAAAGTGAAAAATCACCCCCTAGGGGGATGGCCACACAGCAATCCCTTCTCTTCTTGGGATCTTGGGCATGCACACACATGCACCCGGCGTGAGTTTAAGCCACTGGGTCTGGGACTCGAACCACAATCAACTACATGGGAGTCCAGCAACATAGCCATTATGCCAACTGCTGACCTCAACCCTCTTCTTTACTCTGGAGAGAGTTTTGGCCATAATGTTACCTAGTTGTTACAACTGGTGCACCACTTTTCTTTCTGATTGGGGGCACTAAGAAGGCACCCATTTCTATCCCATGTAATCCCAGCTTTCCCATCACTAACTCCGTCCTACTGTTTGATCCACACTCTGTATTTTTTCCCCATTAAAGATACAGGAAGGAAAAAAAAATGTTTTTCATGGCAATGAATTTCAGACTTTAAATCTGTAAAGAACAACAGCAAGAGCAAAGCTTTATTTGGGGTCTTAGGAATTGTAACACAGAAGCAGAAAGCACCCTCCAAAGGAAAGGGGCAATAGTGAGGTGGTTTTTTGTTTTGTTTTAGATTTTTGCCATAGGGTGTGTGCTTGTGCTCACTGAAGAAAGAAAGAGAGAGGAGAAGTGAGAAATCACCCTCCAGGGGAGATGTTCATCTATAATTCCTTCTCCTCCTTTGTATGCACATACACTCAGCATGATTTCCAAGCTGCTGGGTCTGCAGCTCGAACTGTGGTCAGCTGTGTGGGAGTTCAGTATCTTAACCATCACAGCACCTCCTGGCTCCAAGAGTGGGGTTTTATAAGGGCAGAGGCTTTAACTCATTATGTGATAATATGAGGGAAAAGGACAGGGAGGGAGAGAAAGTATCTCTGAAGGAGATGTAGTCACACCTCCTAGGGTGGAGATTTTAGTATAATAAGCAGAGGTTATCAAAGGTCAGCAAAGGTCAAAGTGTTGGTTCACTATCTGACCATGGATTATAGCTGCAGGTCCCTTCCCAGAACATGTTCATGGAAAGCAACTCAGACTTAACGATTCTCTGTGTAACTAATGCTTTCTTCTGTCTCCTGATTGCTCTTAGGAAGTCACTCAAAAAATCCTGGAAGCTGTGGGGAACATTGCTGGCTCTTCCCTGGAACAAACCAGTTGGCTAAGCAGAAACCTGGAAGTGAAGGCCCAGCCTCAGGTTTCTCTGGAAGAATCTGATACTGAGGAAGATTTGTACGGTAGGTGTGGAAGGGTCAGAAGACGCGGAACCTTGGGATCAGCTGCTGATGGCTGTATAGGGAACATCTTAACTTCTATCAGCTTAAAAAGAAGGCTGAGGCATAATAAGTGAAATACAAGTGGCTTGATCCAGGGATTAGGATTCACCCATATGAACAGACTGGTTCCTCAGACATGTGTTCAATGGCAACCAAGAAAACTGACTTATATAACAAAGAGAAGGGCAAGAATAGAAGTTATAAGTTGTTTGTTAAAGAGTTTACATTGGGGAACTAGCAGATGGCATAATGGTTACATTACTGGACTCCCACATGACCAACTGCAGTTTGAATTCTGGACCCAGCAGCTTGAAACTCACGCTGAGCATATGTGCGTGTGTTCCCAAAATCCTAAGGAGAGAGGAGGAGAAGGGATCGCGGCTTGGTCATTGTGATTTTTCTCTTTCTGTCTCTCTGGAGCGTGCTGTGCCCTGTCTCTCAAAATCTCTCAAAAAAAAAAAAACAAAAGAAGAGTTTACATTGTTCCATTTAAAATAATACAGGCAACTGATTAGTTATACTTTATTCCTCTTTTTTTAAAGAATTATTTTAATTAACTTTATTTATTTAAATTTGACTAGAGAAGGGGAGAGAAAGTAAGAAAGCAAGCCATGATTTGTTTGCTTTGCTTCAAGCAATACTTGAACCATGGTCGACCATGTGGAAATCCAGCACCCTTAACCACCATACCACCTGCTGGCCCCAGTTATACTTTTTTTTTTTTAAAAAAAAAGAATTATGTATTCAATTTTATTTATTTTAACTTGGTCACACACACACACACAGACAGAGAGAGAGAAAAGAGGAAAAGTGGGAAAGCAGTCCACCAGATCCAGGACTTGAACCATGGTTGGCCATCTGGAAGTGTCCAGTGCTTTAACCACCATGCCACCTACTGGTCCCTATACTGCCGGGGTCCAGCCTTGGCAGTGGCGGGTGGCTCATACACAGGAAGGCAACATGGGTGATCAGAAACAAAAAATTAGACTGAGACCTCATTGCTCCTTAGCATGTTTTCAGCCGGCCACAGCCAGAGCCAGCTCCAGACTGCAGCGCCCTGGCTATTAAAACATGCGTATTTATTGAGGGAGGTTTAGGAAGCAAGGAGGGTGAGGGGTAGTAAAAAATTTACTCTAAGGAACAGGGTACAGGGTATACAAAGCATGGAAGCAATAATTATAAAACATCAGTCCCGGGCCAGGGTGGCAACATTGCTGGTTACAAAGGCCTAGATAGAAATCTTGTCTTGCTAAGTAAAGACACAGTTAATATATGGACTATCTATACATTACAACAATAGAGGGTGAGTCTATGATCTTATATGGGAAAGGAAGATGATCTTGTAGCTCAGGAGGCAACACAGTATGTTTTATTAGCAGTTTTTCATAGTCAACAGCACATAGATGAGAAACTCTTTGTAGTTGAAAACTACCTGTTACTTTAGATAAGAGTTCCCAGCTAAGGTAGTTAATCTTTTTCTGGAGCCCTCAGGTTTGTTCATCCTGTTGTCCCAGTCAGGCTTTTTCCTTTTATAAACCTGTGGGTTTCTGCATTTTGTTTGCTGAGTCTGTCAATTAGTGAGTTCTTTTGTTTTATCTCTGAGTCTCTTATGTGGTAAATGTGCTGACTTTGCCTAGCATGAGTTAACTTCGGCCTGTAGCTTTAACAAGGGGTATTTACATAAAACTAGCCTTAAACTAACTTAGTCTACATATGCTTCTAATGCTAATTTGGTTTATACTAACTTAATCTGTATATTAATTTTGGCTTAAAAACAGACAGGTGGGGAAGTCTTAAACTTCCTAGTCCTCGTGTCAGTCTTAGGGAACCACATTCTTACAAGATCACTAATTGGCTTTATTGCAATGGTTGGGGGTGATGTTTTACCCTTACAGGGTACCGTCAAAACAGTAAAACTCATGGCAGAGAAATTAAATACCAGCCAGTACAAGGACACAAGGGAGGGCTCGTAAACTGGGCCCTGCCTCAGTTTCTTCCCAGTCCAGGCCCTGCCTTAGAATGGGAGGCAGCATCCTTACCAACTTGTGTTGCCTGCATGGCCCCGTCATCTTATTCTTTACATCATAAAGTTGAGAACTGGAGAAAGAAGTAAGGGTGGAGTTACTGTAAACTCTCTAATCCTTTGTAGTGTCAGTTTGTTTACTGTATTCAAACACACCTTTTGGCGCTAACAGGTGGCATAGTGGTTAAGGCGCTAGACTCCCACCTGGTCAACCACTGTTCAAGTCCCAGACTTGGTGGCTTGCTTTCTTACTTTGTCTCTCTTTCTCTCTCTGTCTCTTTCTCTTTCTCTTTCTGGTGAACATACATGCCCTACAGCAAATTTTAAAATAATAATAAAATTAAATAACTAATTCTAAAAACAGAATGCCTTTTGGGCACTAATTCTGATGGGTATGGAGCATAACCTAAATCTTAGGCTCCTGTTTACTCAATATTTAAAGTTTAAATGTACACCTTGAATTTCACAGACTGCTCTCAACTGCTTTTCTTTCACATTGTACTCCAAAAATATGTCCATTGATTATTTGTCAATTAAAAATAAATCTAGTGGAACCAGCAGGTGGCATGGTGGTTAAGTTGTAGGACTCCCACGTGACTGCCTGCAGTTCGAGTCCCAGATCTGGTGGCTTGCTTTCTCACTTTCTCTCTCACTTTCTCTCTCTCCCCCCCTTTCTCTGTCTCTCTCTGGTGAGCACATTGTCTATAGCAAACTATCAACAATAATAACTAATAAATAAAATTAAATAATTCTAAAAATTAATTAATTAATTAATCTAGGGCCAGCTCTATGGCACAGCATAATGCACTGCTCAAAAGAAGTTGAATCTTGGGACCAGCAGTTAGCATAATGGCTATGTCGCTGGACTCCCATGTAGTTGACTGCGGTTCGAATCCCGGACCCGGTGACTTGAGCTCACGCTGGGCACGTGTGCATGCATGCCCAAGATCCTGAGAGGAGAGTGGAGGAGAAGGGATTGCAGCATGGCCATCCCCCCTGGGGGGTGATTTCTTGCTTTCTATCTCTCTGTCTCTCTGGCAAGCACACTTGCTCTATAATAAAAACCTCTCCAAAAAAAAAAGGAAGTTGCATCTCTGGCTCAGTCAGACTGAAACATACCAGACAGGTACTCAAGTGTCCCAGGTCCAATTGGCCTAAGGACTGGAGAAGGGGATCCTGTCATGACCAGACCCTGTGGAAGGTACTGTCTGTTGGATAGAGAACTGGAGAGTGTTGTGATGAGATGCACAGTTCTTGGGCCAAGATCTCTAAGATTAGAGACCCATTCCAAGATGCAAATGAAGTCACAGCCCACAAGAAAAGTGTGGAAAAGAGAAGCTTTAATAGTACAGTACACCCAGGAGAGGTACAGGCAGGCAGGCAGGCTGCCAGGCAGCAACTG